GCCAAGTATGTTAAGCTTAGAGAAGGGTTTCACACTATCCAATTTGAGTCAGCATATAAATCACAGATTAAACTGACATTTGATTTTCCATTCAAAAGCTCCTTATGTAGTATGACTCACCAAATTCATTTCTTCCAACTATGAACAATAAGTTCTACTTCTGCCTTATAACTTTCATAATCTCCGTAGAAATTAAGGGTTAATTCTGAAATCCTTTAAAAAACACTTTAAAAAGATCTCGCTAAGACTACTCCGGAATAGTAAAGGTTTGTGACCTTTAGCTAGGTCCCAGGATCGGGCCTACCAGCTTGCCTTTGGGGGAATCCTCTGGATAGTTTTTGGACCTAGGAATTAAGCCACGGTACGAGTAACAAGCCTCTCCTCCACCTCACAGTGGAGTCCCAGACCCCACTCCCAGATCGTAGAACCCAAGCCCTCTCACTGCAATCTGAAAACCGTTCCAGAACCTGGCACACCCGGTCTCCGCTCCCCCTGCCACCCGGCCCGGCGCTAAGGCCCGGAGGCTCCGTAGCCCCGGAGTCGGGTGAAGGGCGCCATTTTAGGCGGCGGAGGCGGCGACAACCAATCCCCGCGCGCGAGGCAGGGGGCGCCGGGTCGCCCGGGAGCTGCGGCCGGGCCGAGCCGGGCGCCAGTCTGGGAGGTTCGGGGCCCCGGGCCGGCGGCCTCCGCCATGTTGCACCCTCCCCGCGGCCGCTTCCTTCTCGCCGGGCCCGGGCCGCGGCACCTCCCACCGCCCAAGTGGAGCTCACCTTCTCGCAGAGGCTCTTAACCTGGGACTCGGACAGCTGCTTGCACTCGTTCAGCTGCTCGATCCACTGGTCCAGCTCCTTGGTGAACACCTTCTCGTCCATGATGCCACCCGTCCGAACCGGCTGCCGCTCCGCGCTACTCCCGCGCCGCCGCCCGCACACGGGCCACACGCACACGCCGCCACCGGCTCCCGGGGAACGTGGATGGCCACTGGCGGTTGCTCGGCGGTAGTGCTGGCCCGATGGCTCGCCGCGCAATGCTCGGCCGCCGGCCGCTGCCCTCCTCCTCCGCTCGCTCTAGCCCCGGAGCTCGGCTCTCTGTAATGGCGGCCGCCGGCGTGGTGACGTCACGCCCGGCGTCAGGAGGCGGCGGGGTGCGGAGGGGTGGAAGCGCTGGCACTCGAGCTGCGCAGCTGCGGAGTCCACCACGGCGAGCCGTCGGCCCCGAGAGGGGCGGAACTCGAGGCCAAAGCGCAGGCGCAGGCGCAGGCGCAAAGTCGCCGACTTGTAACAGGCACCTTCGCTTTTAGGGCGTGGTCTTCCAGGAGGGAGGGGTCGGGGAGGGGGGAGGGAAAGACCCAGTGGGAGTAAAAGCGGGCCTCGCAGCCATGAACCCGACTCATCCCGCAGCTCTAAATCCTCTGCGGCTCCGGCGCGGTCGGGGTGGCAAGGGTGGGGGCACTGAGCTGCCAGACTCTGCTCCTCAGGTGGTGACGCCTAGGCCCTTTGCCGGGCAGGGACTGCAGCCACATCAAGGAAAAGGGAATTGGTACCCCATGACTCCACCGTGCTGCAACAGCGCTGGAATTGCGTGGGATTCCCGAATGTTTGGGGTCAGAGACTGGCGCGAGTCGTAGCCTGATTGGAGCGGCCTCTCTGCCTCTGGGCGTGCCCCGCACCTTGTAATTAGGTCACTCGTGGGCGGAGGAGGGTGTACCTGCCGGGGGAGTGCGGCGTAGTGCACCTGACTCCCCGGCACACACCTTTCCCCGGGTTTCGGTGTCTCGTTGGGCGCGATGGCTTAGGGTTGACCCTTGGGATTTTCTCTGGGCTTCGGACCACTCCAGTTTTCCACCCGCCCTCGCCCTTTGCTGCCTTCATCCCCAGGTGTGAGCCTTCTCGGAGTCCGATTTCCCCTGAGAATGAGAAACTCCCAATTCCTGTGCGCACTGGCCTACTTTCTAGAGGAAAAGGCCATAATAAGACAGACGCATCCGGCCTGATGCCAACTGGTCGTGTTAGAAGCAGCCGTGAGCTGCACTTTAAAGATCCGATTCCTAGGAGCGGACCTCGGTGTGGCTGTGTTAATCTCTTTGGGGTTTGTGAAATGTTTTCTCATTCCATTGTCCCCACTCTGTAGAGCGTTAGCTAGGTGCCATACCCCCAATCTAAGGTGAGGGGTGGGGGGGAGTCATCCAAATAGACTGTCCTGGTAGTCTTCCTCCAGCAGCACTGGCTTAAGGTGGTATGGGGATAGGCAGAAGAAAGATGATGTCGTCCACGGTTCCCGAAAGAGAAAGACTTCCAAAGGACACTTAACCACAAAGCAAAAGCTGAATCTGGTTCCTGTCTTCTGGGCTCCTACCATCCAATAGTTGTCCACCTTGACGCAGCTAAGAGCTCAGAGATGCTCTGGTCAGACTGAAAATGCTCCATCCAAGATAACCTGCTGGGCGAGGCAGACAGCAATTCTGCTTTCCCTTAGTACCTCCCACTAGCGTGCCCCAAAGAAAATACCTCGAATCTACTTAAGGAGAGACTTATCATTTACTCTGAGAAAAAGCTCTTTTAGCCCAAATTCTGACCATGTTTTGCAGTAAGCATCCCCAAATATTAGAGGAATAAGAGTTCAGATCATATGGAATGAAATCATCAGTTGGTGCCCGTGATTATAAAACCAAGTCCATCTGCTGTGTCTTAGCTTATTCATCAGGTCCTGCACCTATGTGAGAACTGCACCTGTCTGCTGGGGCAAGGAGGAGATAGGCACTCTGAAAGAAAACGTACATGCCCGTGTAGTGATCAGGATTTAGAATTTCATACTCCCAACTGCAAGGTCTCACCCACTCCGGTACAACTCACCTTCCAAAGATTGAAACATGGGACAGGGTAAATATAATTTCCATTTCTCTGAGTTCTCTTACCCACAAAAGCAGGGGGGAGGTGTTAGTTTGGTAGATTAAAAAGCACTGGAAATGTGCTACTATTATAATGACTGGGCTTTTCCAAAGTGCTGTGAACTCCTTGTTAGTAGTATTAATATAGGTATAATTTATTTTCTCTTGATGCAGATTACTTGGCTACACCACCACAAAATGGAGGCAAGATATAATTATGTGTACTTAAAACATCCTGCCAAATAATTAGATGCCATGACTTAACTTCTTAAGGAATGAATTCTAGGAAGCTCTTATTAGCATCCATGCAGTGAAGTAAAGCATACATGATTATAAACAAAGCAGAACTAAATCAGTGTCTTTTCCTTTAGAAGAAATCCAGAATTTTTTTTTTACTCATAGAATTCAAAATAATTGAATCTTAAAAAAATCAGTTTGATTAATATGGTCTTGAGTTATTGGACCTGTCTCAATTCTAGAGCTGCAGAATACTTGGAACAGAAAGTTAAAAGCAAACCAAAAAGAAGTGTCCTCTTAATTTCCTAGCAAAAACCAGAGAGAACAAAGCAGATATGTTTTGAGAAGGAATCTTTGCTTAGATGGCAAATTCAGTATAGAGTGAGTCTGAGAGTTCCCTATGATGTTTAAACATAGCTATAAATAAAAATCATCTGATGATGGGGGTGGGGTAGGAGGAAGATAACCTTGAGCAAATAGCTTTATAATAGGCACTCTTAGCCAAGATAAAAAAAAAATTGACATTAAACTCAGAGAAGGAATGAGGTGTATCATATTTGTCAGAAATTCTCTAGGCCTTAAGTTAGGTTTCTTTGTTGTCATTCCTTCCAGTTCCCTGATCTCTTAAATTTACTGAGACAGAAAGTAGAGCAGTGAAGGTATTAAATGACTCTGGAGTCAAATGGACCTGGGTTTGAATTCTGGTTCTGCAACTGCCAAGGTATGTGAAGCTTGGCAGATTACCTAATTCTTATGTCTCAGTTTTCTCATCTGTAAACTGGGGGTAATTTTAATGGTCAAATAATTGTGTTCTTCTGAGAATTAAATGAAATTATACATTAAATATCAAACAGCCTGTAATAAATGTCCAATAAGTATTAGATATTATTTCTACATGCTCTTTCATTCTAAACACTCTCTAATGCTAGGTAGGGTCCCTCAATACTTGCTATGAAGTACATAATGATCTTTGAGCATCAGAAACATCATATAGACACAAAGCCTTTGGATCAAGTGGGAATGAGGAAGAAACGAGAGAGATGAAACAAAAAGAACACCCCCTCTCTTCCGTTGCTATCAAGCAAACATGCAGGAGGTCAGTCAAGATTAAATCCAAAAATTAATGCAATTTGTTAGTCTTACACTCCTGTTGGTTCAGAATCCTGTACTTGAAAAGGGTGCCATATCTGATGGCATCTCTTTGCACAGATATCTCCCATACCCCAGAAATCCCAAAATAAAGACTTGCACACTCAAAATCTTAGGAGCTCTGCCTGTTCTGTTCTGCCATGTTCTGGCCCACTGTGAGCCTGCCCAACTACCAGAAGATTTCTGCACTCAAGATATACAGTAGTGCTTGCAACTCACTAGTGTCTATCCCCATTCCTCTCCTTTGTGGTTTTCAGAAAAATTGTATTTAGATTGCCCTTTTACCTAGAATTAGAATTTCATTGAAGTGGCCACAAAATTTTGGCCACAGGAGCTTTGCTATAGATATATGGTCCTTTCTCCCAGCTATTGCAGTTTGGCTAAAGAAAAAAAAGGATCATGTCCCCCGGTAATGCCCATGACATCCAGATACCAGATACCATTCTCAGTTACAGAGGAAATATTTTTCTCTGTTACAAGGGAGAAAAAAAAAGTCTCTGAAATGGAAGGCAAAGTTCATTACTCCAGAAGGTTGGGTAAAACTTAAGAATATTGTCACCAATTTTGCAGCAATTAAAAATCTTACATAGAACTATATTTATTGACAGGAAATTATTCACAATATATTAATAAGGGAAAGAAGTACATTATAAAACAGTATGATATAATCCTAATTTTATTAAATATACAATATAAATATAAGTTTATAAGAGACTTTAGAAAGATACACAGTGAGGTATTATAGTTTACTTCTCATAAGTGAGACAATTTTTTGCTTTCTTCTTTTTATTTGATTCCTCTGTGAAAGCACAATATGAAGACACAATAAAATTGTGAAAAAAATCTTCAGAATATCTGAGTAAACATGACAAGGCACCTTTTAGGGAAATCACAGGCTCAGAGAACATGTAGCCAATAGTTCTAAATATTACGCTATGCCCTGGAGTATTACTCAAGGGGCCCCACTTGGTTTTGAAAAGAAGTCTGAACTCTCCAATGGCCTTTACCCAGAAATTTCAATATAGCCTATTCTCCTGCCTTCCCTCTCACTAAAAGCTCTTCCCCTCAGCTCACCTGGCTCCCTTACTCACTCAGATCAATGCTGTAGTCATCATTCCATTCCCACTTTCACCTCTTTGCTCAGCCTGTTCCTTCTTCCAGAAGAACATCTTGTATGTCTACGAACCTTGTCATTCAAGACCAATTCAAGCCCCACACCCTCTGCAGAGTCTGCTCTGACACATCTCAGTCTCTTTTGATTGAAGGAACCTAGAACACCATCCAGAGACCCCCCAGAGCCTGGTGGGACAGCACAGAGATCTGGCACCTGTCAGAACAGAGGAGTGTCAGTGGAGGATTTGTTGGGGAGCTTATATGGGGTGCTCTCTGAAGAGTCCCAGAAATAATGCAGGGGGGTGGGAGGTTTTGCAGGGAAAATTTGTTAACATTTGTTCTCCGCCCCCCACCCCCAGATTAACTGGTTCATCAGTGCTCTAGCCTGATCTAGGCAAGATTTAGATGTCAGATTCCCCTAAAGCAGTGGAATTTGCATGTAGAGGCATCTAAGCAATTTTGTGAATTTCATTTACAAAGCTAGGAAGATAGGGGCCTCCCTGGTGGCGCAGCAGTTGAGCGCTTGGCTGCGAAGGTGCCCACAGTCTCTGCAGTGCCATTTCGATCCCTGGCCACCGGCCAGTGTCCCACATGGCGCGTAGAAATCTCCTGCTGCGCCCGCTGCTCCCCTCAGCAGAGTACTTCGTCAGTCTGCCTGTTCTGCTCCCCGCTCTGGCTCTGGTGAATTCTCTCACCCTCCCGTGCTTCTGACTGTACCCAGTGCTTGTATAAATAAATAAATAAATATTAAAAAAAATAAAGACTTCCATTTAAAAAAAAAGCTAGGAAGATAGGTCTATACTCCACTCCTGTGTGATGGAAACAGCCTCGCCCCCTCACAGCAGTGTTTGTTCCCTAAGCTGACAAAGGGAACACCAGGTAGGGAAAGCCCTCTGTTACCATGTACACATTTAAATTCTGAGTCTGGTGGGTAGTAATGGAGTTCAGCCCACAAACAAAAGTGTGTTCAGAAAAGAGAAAACTGATGGTTAATTTAGTGCCTGTAGGTTAATAGTTGGTTCTTAGAGAAAGGATGATAATCACTTGTCTCCATCTTTGGAGCAACAAGCAAGAGGAAATGAGCCTCTTTCAAGTAGTAACAATTATATAGGCAGCATTTATTAAGCACTTATTGTTTATCAGGAACTCTTCTAAGTTCTTTACATGTATTATTGATTCTTCATGACTTAGCAGGTACTATTACTAAGACTAGACATTTCTGAAACAAGTTGCCCTGCCTAGACTCAGCAATGTCCTCTCACATGGGGGAATAGCGTGGCTGGCCTGATTGGCTTTCATCATTTTATAGATGATGAAACTAAGGTAAAATAGCTAGTAAGCAGAAAAGCTGGGATTCAAACTTCAACAGTCTGACTTCAGCGCCCAAACTCTTAACTACCAAAGAGCATGTAAGCAGGAGATCACAAGTGATTTATTTTCATGAAAGGAGATCTTGGCCATTGGATAATCTTTCACTTCTAATTGTCTAGCAATCTCCAAGGTTAGGGTACTAATCGGTGTCCTTGATGGGTGTGGCTTGGGGAACAGCCTGTAGTCCAGCCAACCCACGCAGTCCACCTCCTAAATACACCCAGGTACTACTCTAGTCGTCTCTCTGTACCACGCTCTTCTGCTCTTTTGTCCCGATGCACCCTCTTTCTTTCCTACTTTTTCTCTCCTATGGGTCCATTTATACAGCCTGCTGACCCGGGTAATCCACAGGCCATGATTTTGCTCCTCTTCTAGTACTAAGAATCAAAAAGTGTGCTGGTGACCTTCCAGGTCATCTTCTTTGGGATTAACAACCTTCCCAACCCACAGGCTGAACAAAGACAGCCGACAGAGTAGTGAGAAGAGAGAAGACTAGACATTTCTGAAACAAGTTGCCCTGCCTAGACTCAGCAATGTCCTCTCACATGGGGGAATAGCATGGCTGGCCTGCTTGGCTTTCGTCAAGCAAACAACATAATGGATCCATATTCTCTTCTCAGGAACCAGTTGGAGTGTAAGGAAAAGAGAATTGGGCTCATCCCCACTTGTGCCACCAAATACTCTGCAACTTGGAACATATTCTCATCAGTTTACCCATTCCACAATGTAGATTAGACTGTATTGGGGAGTCCTCCATTTAGGATTCATGAGGATCCAGTAATTTCCAAAGGATAATGTACAGGAATTTTCTCTTTTTTACTGAAGTTGTTATTGAGATGATCTGAGAGTCATATGCAGTTAGGAGAAATAACAGAGAGATCCCAGTTTCCCGGTAACATCTGGCACTAGTTCAGTAAGTGTAACAACTGGGATAGTGATATAACCCACCTATCTTACTCATTTTTCCCTACTTTTACATGCCCTCATGAGTATAGGGTATGCATATATGTGTTTGTGTGTATGTTTAATGGTATACAATTGGGAATTTTCCTCTGCATGTGATTTTTTTCTGTGGAAAGGTCCTTAGTTTACATCACATTCTCTCAAGTATTAGAGACGCAAATGGGGTTTGCTCTGGCAATTGTAGAAGATGTACTCTAAACCTTTATAGGTCTCTGTTCCAACAGCGAATTTTATTTATTATTATTATTATTATTTTAATATTTATTTATTTATATAAGCACTGGGTACAGTCAGAAGTGCGGGAGGGTGAGAGAATTCACCAGAGCCAGAGCAGGGAACAGAACAGGCAGAGTGATGAAATACACTGCTGAGGGGAGCAGTGGGCGCAGCAGGAGAGGTCTGTGGCGCCATCTGGGACCCTCGTCAGCGGCCGGGATCGAACCGGTGCTGCAGAGGCTGCCGGCAGCTTCACAGCCCACCGCTTAACTGCTGAGCCACCAGGGGAGGCCCAACAGCAAATTTTAATTAGCACTTACCACATGGCAGGCATAGGGATCCGTATGGCCGAGGCAATGGAAATAGCTGTAGGAAATGCAAGGAAAGCCCAAAGGTGCAAAAAACACAGTCCACTGAGCTTGGTGCTCCAACAGGGGGAGACAGATAATCCACCAGGTAAACACAAAATTTATCAAACACATGCATAAGTGGGATGGCTTTCTAGCTTAGAGCAGCTTGGAAAGTATGTCTACAGAAAATGATGCTTGAGCTACATCTTGAAAGATAATTCAAAATTCTTTTGCTGAGAAGAAAACTCACTGTTAAAATCAGCCCCTCTTAAATCATGTCTATTCTGGATGTTTAGAAGAAAACAAAGGAAACCATGCCTACATGGTTTTTTTATTCTACTATGTTAAGGTGTCAGATTCTTCAACTCCCATGTGCTGGTCTTGAGGCCAAGGGATTTTTTCCCTCTGAGTCTATTTTCCACCATCTTGTCCAAATTGGATACCAGATCCTGCCTGCTTAGCTTGAGAAAGGCATTTTATCTCTGGCGCCCTGATCACATCAGGGCTTATATTTAAAGCATGAGTGATGAGAAGAGACTGTGGCTAGTCCCTGGCTCTGTCCCATTCCTGAGCACCCTCCTCCTCTCCACTGAAGGTTTTGGACACCAATCCTCCAGTGGCTGGTGAGAGTTAAGAGCTGGCCAGAGCCATGGGTAGAATATCTCTACTCTCCAAATAATTTTCCAGTCACTGGGATCTTTTTTTTCTACAAGGGTTCATCAGAAACCCCCATGGGGGGCCTCCTTGGTGGCTCAGGGTTTAAATACAGCACTATTAAGCTATTGCCAGCCACTGCAGAATGAGTTCAATCCCATGCCAGAGAGCTACCCACATGGCACAGCAGACCTCTCCTGCCTCAATGCTGCTCACCTCAGCAGTGTGTTTCAGATCTGCCTGTTCTGCTCCCCACTCTGGGGAATCCTCTCACCCTCCCCCGCAACCCTCTGGCTTACACCCCAGTTCTTATAGGCATGAATAAATAAATGAATAAATGAATAAATAAATGAATAAATAAATCTTAAAAAATAAAGAAACCCCCAGGGGCTGGGCTTAGCTGCCCCATGTCTGCACTCCCCAGATTTCAGGGCCTGGTGTGAGCTCTGGCTCAGACATCCCTCAATGCCTTTTCCTTTGTGGATTTTAGGATATTCAGTTCCCAGGACTGCCCTCAGGTCCTTATTCTCTCTGGTGCCTCCAACCTTGTGTCAGGAAGACCAGGACCCTACCATCAGCCCCACCCTTTGAGGAATCTCCTAGATGCTCAGTTCAAGGTACCACTTCTTATAACCTCTGTGTCCTCATGCAAGTTACATTGTAGTATCTTCATCTATAAGATGGAAATCATACATTACATTAGATATTATTAACATCTTTTTTTTAAAGATTTATTTATTTATGCATACAAGAACTGGGATAGAGGCCAGAGGTACAGGGGGTGAGAGGATTCACCAGAGACAGAGTGGGGAACAGAACAGGCAGACTGAGTGAAAAACACCACTGAAGAGAGCAGCGAGCTCGACAGGAGAGGTCTACTGCTCCATGTGGGTAGCTCCCTGGCCGGCCGGGGATCAAACTCATGTTGCAGAGGCAGTAGATAGCTTCACAGTGTTGTGCTTAACCCCTTGTGCCACCAGGGAGGCCCATATTAACATCTTTTTTTTAAAAAAAAGATTTATTTATTTATACAAGAACTGGGGTACAGGCCAGATGCTCAGGAGGGTGAGAGGATTCACCAGAGATAGAGCGGGGAGCAGAACAGGCAGACTGACTCAAATACACTGCTGAGGGGAGCAGCAGGCGCGACAGGAGAGGTCTGCTGCACCATGTGGGATTCTCGCCGGCCGGCTGGGATCGAACCTGCTCTAGAGAGGCTGCGGACAGCTTCACAGTGTGGTGCTGAACTGCCTGCGCCACCAGGGAGGCCCTTAACATCTATTTTTATAAAATTATTTATGATTGTAAAATAACAATTACTTTAGAAAATTATGCACAACTGACAAGTTTAAGGAAGAAACAATCACAAGCAGAGATGAGTGCTATAATCATTTCAATGCGTATGTTTGTATGTGGGTCCAGGTATATATAAAACCAGGTTAATACTATATGTGTCTGTTCTGTCTTGTTTAATTCGACTGACATCATTAATATTTTCCCATATACTTACTCTTAGAAAATATTTTTAAATGACTACTTAGTTTTTAACATATCAGTGTAACCTAATTTATATAATTAATCCCTCAGTTTAATACTTAAATTTCTCTTTTAATATTTATAAATGCCATGATAAAAGTCCTTGTTCATGAATTTTTGTGGG